TCCTCTTCCTCCAAACCTTCCTCCCTTATCCGTGAAAATCTTCCCTCAATATTGGTGTTTTCCTGAGCCTGACAAAAGCGTTTCCTCATCCGGAACCGGCGCCGCGATCCTGCAGAAAGAAATTAATTCCTCATTTTAATTAAGGAATACCGAGGAGGATGTCGGATAAATGCTTCCCCACGGATCGGCTGCGGAGGCACCGACCCACCTAACTGCGAACGGCTGTTGGCATCGCGCCGAAACACCCCTATTCCCTAAAAAAAATCCATAATCCCAAAGGGTCGTTATTCCCCAAATTATCCCTTTTCTGCCCTGTCAGTGCTCGGAGATCGTGGGATCTTTGTCTCCCCCCCCCGAACATCCCTTCCTCCGCGGGGGATATGAGGCGGAAAAGAAACAAAAATTTCATGTCCTGCAGCCTGAATTGATGAAAATGGGCCAAACTTTTGTGTAGTGAAGCATAAAATGCTGGAAAAGGGCTGAAAAAGAAACAAATTTTCATCTAGTGAGGCATAAATTGCTGAAAATGGGCCAAAAAGGAAGAAAGTTTCATGTAGTGAGGCACAAATTGCTGGAAACAGGTGGAAAAGAAACAAAAATTTAATGTCCTGAAGCCTAAATTGCTGAAAATGGGCCAAATTTTTGTGTAGTAAAGCATAAAATGCTGGAGAAGGGCTGAAAAATAAACAAATTTTCATCTAGTGAGGCATAAATTGCTGAAAATGGACCAAAAAGAATAAAAATTTTCCTGTAGCGAAGCCGAAATGTCTGCAAACCGGTCGAAGTTGTTGAAAATGGGCCAAAAAGAAACAAAATATTTGTGTCCCGACACCAAAATTGCTGAAAACGGGCAGAAAAAAGAAAAATTTTCATGTAGCAAAGCTTGAATTGCTGAAAATGGCCTAAAGGAAAGAAATTTTCCTGTAAAATGCTGAAAACAGGTGGAAAGGAAACAAATTTTTGTGTAATGCAGTCTAAATTGCAGTAAAATGGGCAGAAAAAGAAAGAAATTTTCATGTAGTGAGGCATAAATTGCTGAAAATGGGCCAAAAAGGAAGAAATTTCCCTGTTTGGAATCTGAAATTGCTTAAAATGGGTGAAAAAGAAACAAAAAATTTCATGTCCTGAAGCCTGAATTGCTGAAAATGGGCCAAATTTTTGTGTGGTGAAGTGTAAAATGCTGAAAAAGGGCTGGAAAAGAAAGAAATTTTCATCGGGTGAGGCATAAATTGCTGGAAATGGGCAGAAAGGAAAGAAATTTTCCTGTAGCAAAGCTGAAATTGCCAAAAACAGGCAGAAAAGAAACAAAATTTCACGTACCGAAGTCTGAATTCCTGAAAATGGGCAGAAACCCAAATTTTTGCGTGGACCAAAGCTGAAATTGCCAAAACCAGGCAGGTCAGGGGGCCGCACCGCGTGGAAAAAACCCGTTAGCGAAGGTTCCGCTCCCTTTCCGACTCGTTTTCCACCCAATTTGCGTCGCTACCGCACCGGCCGCGCTGGTGCCACTCCTGCCGGTCAAGCGGGTTCGCTTGGTCGTCGGTGCCGGAAAACGCCGGGAAAAGGGGTTTTAAGGATTCCTCCGATCCAAAAAAACGCTATTTTCTGTGGGTTTGGGGCCCGTTAACCCTTTCCTGGGCAGTAAAGAGCCTTTTTTGGGTCTTTTGGGGTTTTTTTACTCTTCTCCCCGAGCAGAAAGGCAAAGGGCCCTGAACGTTCCCGGCGTTCACCGGGCCGCCGGAGCTTGTTTCGGCGCTGG